AGTTGTAGTTAATGTATTTATTTGCTTATAGCAGGAGTTGCCATAGTGGTCGATACTGACCCCAGGGCTCGATATAACATTATTGGGGGGTTGATGAAAAGACTAAAACTTACAAATTTTGAACTGAATATTGCTAATCTTGCTAAGGATCATCAAGCTTATCCATCTCATTGATTGTCAGTTACAAAAATTATTAACATATATATAATAAATGTAAATTTGAAAGATATATATTAAAATAGTAAGAGCTTTTTTTGCTTGTAACAAATTTTTTGGTAGGGGTCAATGTGAGGTTTCGAAAAGTTGTAGGGGATCGACGATTAAAAATGTTTGGCGACCCCTGGCTTAGAGGCCCACGGAACCTTTGGACCTAGAATTCAAAGATTGCTGTTTAATGCCCAAATGTTACGTCTAAATGCCAACTTTTAGATTTTGGATTTCATAGACAAGTAAAACTTTTAGCTAAAGAAATTTTAAATTCTATACAATTATTTTATAACGATTCTTCGATGAAATTGTTTTGGACAACTAGAAATGGCATAATAAAATTACATTCGATTTTTCCATCATCAATTATCAGCGCCAATATTTAATAATTTGATTAAATAAGCATGTTTTGCTTCTAGACTTATACGCCAAAAATGTAAATTTGTAAAACAAGTTTGTTTTTTCTTTTTTAGACACTGACAGTTTGCATTGTGTTGAGATAATTGCCAAAAATCTTCGATTTGTTAAATGTGGATGATATCAACAAGTTCTTTGTTTTGTTGAAAAATATCACGTAAACAGTTGCCTATCTAATTTGTGAATGTAATTACTTTTCAGTTAAATACATCTAATAAAATGTATTTACTTATTACTTTTTGATTATTTTTTTATATTTATTCTATTATTACTTGTATATTATATTGTTAAAGCTAGTATATATATATATANTATACGGACATACATGTCCATTTATATATATATATATATATCTAATCTATCATATAACATTTCTTTGAGTTTATTCCTTATTCTACTCTGTAAGTGTAATATTGTTGTCTTCCTCTACGATCCTTTCACTACTAAAAATTTGCTTTTTTTTGTGATAAACTAATATAAAATAATATGACATTAGATTGCTATTAACCCTGATTAATAGTTTTAGTGAATATTACAAATTTAATATGGAGTTTGTATACTTTTAACGTAATTATTAAATTAACTAAATTTTATTAATATTTATTAGAAGACAATCCAACAGTTCCCTTTCAGTTGACAATATTTTGTTGATGGCGTTACTTCCAATTTTTTTAATGCTGAATTATCTTTGTATGCTACTTAGTGTTAAAAGCTACAGGTTTTATGTAATTATTTAACTATTAGTACCAGGGGTAACAATCGAAATCTGCTCACAAACACATCTTTTAAAGATGATTTCCTTAGCCATATAGACTACTATTACAACTACTGTATTACTCCTTTCCGCCTTCTGATTTTTCTCCTTTGCAGTTATTTTGAAACATTATAATGATTGAACCTTGATAATTCTATATCTAGAAAATAAAACAATGAAGTTAATTTATAAATAACATATTACTTCTTTTTGATAAATTTTATGGATAACCTTTTCATCAGTTCAGATTTGAAAAAATTAAAATCTTCGTATCAATTCAAGAATGTCGATTATAACTAATGTCAACACAAAAAAGATATCTGCTTTATTTCAGTTAATCTAAAAGCAGTTTTTCTCAACCAATCCCGTTATTANCAATAATATTATTTTAGATTAAAAGATGGTAGAACACTATCTCAGTAAAAGGAAAAAAAAAATTATTTTTTTTTAAAAAAATATTAACTGGAATTTGGATATAGAACTTTACGATGTTACGGAAGCGTAACTAGACAAAGTTGTCGAGCTGTTCAACGTGACAAAAGAGTTAATCACGTGTTAATAAGGCATTTGCTCTATCACGTGATTAGTGCAAAAAGAACGGATTCTTCCGCGAGAAGAAAAGCTGTACGGAACGAGCCAGAGACCTAGTCACGTGACAGAGTGACGTCGAAATCGGATCACGTGACACGGTTTGTGTGTATCCAGTGTGCACCTCCACGACGACGGCAAGCTTAAGCAATGGCATTTCGAACAGAGAACAATCGGTAAGTAGTCCTATGATTTTTCGTTTATAGCATCGTATATACGGGCTGCCCGGAAAAATGTTATGCGTTTTCTGAATGCCTATTAAATATACATTCTTTTTATATAATATAATTTTAAAAATTCATATTCCCTTAAACTGTAAATTACCAACTGCAAAATTAAGCATAAACATTAGAAAACTGTCAGTGTAATTTATTTCTACTTTTTAATCTTTGTTTTGAATGAAATGTCTAAAGTATTGTTTCCAATTAAAAGATATTCAAGGCATTTTATATAACATTGCCAGGTGGGAAACATTTTTTGACATAATGTATATGATGAAAGCAATCTTTATATTTCAGCATTATTGAATTATTATTGTTAATTAAATGTCTGTTTAAAATATCTATTATATGATATTTTATGATGTCTGTTTAAAATATCTATTATATGATATTTTTAATATTGTTTATTAAAGATATTATTATATGGTATAGTTATAACATAGCAGTTTATATATTTATAAATTATATAATAGGCTAGTCCCTAGGAATTGCTGTCAGATTATATATTTTGTTCAAGTACAGTTTTGGTCAAAAATTTATTAAAAAAAATAATGTAAAAGTCTAGGACAATAATTTTAAATTGTTTTAGATCTTATTATTGTTTTTCTATAAACAATTAATTTTTATAATAATGTCTTTTTAGTTAAAAAAGTATAGAAAATATTATAGGATTGCCACTATTATGGAATTTTTTAGTATTATTAAATATTTTAATTACATGAATGTAAAAAAGGTAATTGATATATCAGATGTAATGCTTCAACACTTTTAAGAAATTATAAAAATATGCTGTTAATTTGTGCTTTTTGTTAATTTCTGACAAGTTTTAGTATACTATAGCTTTTGATGCAATTTACTGCATTAAGTAATTAAATTTTAAAATGTATTAATAAGCTGTAGAGAGTTTTACATAACTTTATTCCAAATTTATTTCATTTATATTTGATATGATGATTAACTAAAACCAATTAATGTTTCATTTGGATAAAGGTTTAGAATATGAAATAAAATTTTAATGACATTTATATTTAATGAAATATTTTTTCCTAACTTTAAAAGTAACTTGATTAATAAACATTTTTTAAAGACAGAATTGTTTTAGATTAAAAACTAAGGCAAACAATTCATTCCTCATTAGTTTCTTATTTAATCTAAAACAATAACAAAATATTTGGAGAATTTGAGTTAATTCTAAATTGTTACCATTGTTTGCATAAATATTAATATTTTGCCTATAATAATGCTTATATAAACAATAGTCATTGCTTGACTGCTATTTCTTATAAAATTTTAACTGTTAAGTATTTTTATACATACCAACCTTATTTCATTATAAAAACATATAAAACTGAGTACAAAAGGAAAATAAATTTATAAAATTAATATAAAGTACTTTTTTTATAACTTGTAAATAACATTTAATATAAATTAAGAAATAGAAATGTCTTTCGAACCTTAGAATTACTTTTGAATACAGCAAGTCCTCAATCAATAGGTTCTTGAAAACTAAAACATTAAGTGAAATCACATATAAAGAAACTAATTTTATCACAAACTAATTGATATAAACAAGATGTAATTTGATTAATATTCTAATTTGTTTGCAATCTCCAGTATTTATTTCCCAACTTATATAAACAATTTAACTGTTTATGAAGAAAATTTAACAACAAATGTTAAGTGAAGGCTTGCTGTATTTCAATATTATTTTTCAATGTATTTCAATAATATTATTTTAGATTAAAAGATGGTAGAACACTATCTCAGTAAAAGGAAAAAAAAATTATTGGATTTTTAAAGTTAATAAAATATTTCAATAATTGTAAATCCATTAAAAATTTAATTTGAAATTTTGATAATTCATCCAAATAAAATATCAATAAATTTCATGACAACTTGTTCACCCACAGGCTGATATATTTGCCAGATTCACAACCTAGAGACTGAGAAACAAACCAGGTGTTTGAAATGGTAAACACTTTATTAATATATGATTAATTCTGCGTAGTTGAGTAATCAGCAAGAGATTAGGTAATGGTGGGACTGCAATGGAAAGTATATAGCAGTAAATGCCATATACTGTATGATTTTTACATAGAAAAATCATGTACCTTCTAGTTATACAATTTTTCATATAATCAGAGAATTTATGGTAATTAATTTAATAATGTTTTAATTTCAAAAAAGCAAAGCATCATCATTACTTTTTACAAGTAGTTGCTTGTATTTTTCTTTCTGTTAGCGGTTTTAAATGCTGTAAAAATTGGCATAGCATCTGCTGTGTGTTTGATTACAGCACTAAGCATAGGTAAATAAAAATAAATCACAACATGATGACAATAATAATAAATTCATGATATAATTTTATGATAAATTAACTAGAAGATAGAAGTGGTTATATGATTAGAACATTAAACAATGGATTATTATATAAAGAATGAAAAATAGAAAGAATTGTTAATAAGATCAATTGCATAATCTGGGCTACTGCAAAAAAATAAATAAATAAAAATTTGTCATTGTCAGATGCCAGATATCCTGAAGTTAATATATTATTGCTTGAAAGAAATAAAATTTCTTGCAATTTTAATTTAAAAAATCTTAATGTTAAATATAAATGTAATAAAGGATTAGGTCAAGTTGTTGAAAATATTTTATGTAATAATAAATTAAATGTTTTTATCTATATTTTATTATATATTATTTTATCTTATAATTTTCTTAATATAAAATTTATTTTTTAAATGAATTAATTTGATGATAATCAGATTCTTTATTTAATAATGTAATTTTTTTACTTCTTATAGAACATCAGATCATACTGTAAATTCCCAGTGGACATCTACATGTACATCATCATCATCATCACTGCAACAAAAGAAAAAAGGAATGAAGCAATCATGTCAGTATTTAATGAAACCTGAAGTGAGTTTTGATTTTATTTTTTCATTTATTATAATATTTATCATATTTGTTTAGATATTAATTATTGATATATATCAGGGATGGGGAGTCAGTGGAAAAATACATTACTCCCAACTTCAGAGTCAGCACTTTTTAAAATCGGCTCCAACTCCCGACTTCCATAAAAAGATTTGACACTCACTCTGTCTCTCCACCCCTGATACAAACAAGAAGAGTCAGAAATAAGTTTCTGTAGGAGAACACTTTCATGCACTCTGTTTCTTTCATTATGGGTTTCTGAGTGAACTACAGTAGGACAGCAAATGTATTCTGGGAGATTGTTGGCACTGTTATTTTTTTATACTTTTATAAGTATTTTAGGTTCTCAAAGGTTTGTTATGTTCTTTTTTAGGTCTCTCTTAGTTTTTTAGGATGATCAAAAAAACTTTATAACTTTATGAATGGAACATTTAATTTAACTTTCACTATTATTGCATAAATATAAATTTACAAAGAAAACATTGTTTTTTGTTATTGAATTGCAATTTATTATTTTTGGTTCTTAACACACATCATCTTTGGAACAATAAATAAAGATAAGAATTATTGGTTATTTTAGTAAAATAAAATCAAAATTATAAAATAGTTTGTTTAACAGAGAACACAAGTACAATAGTTTGCCATTGTTGCATCACATTGTCCTTCAAGATTGCAAAAAATGCAAAGTGATGTTATTTTTTAAAATGAATTTACAAATAAAAGTTACAAGAAATAATAATAAATGAATTAGGCAATAAGTTCATGTTTTTGGGAATGAGCAATAGATAATATCAAACCAAAATGTGCTGAGTAACTTTTCTGGGATATTTTAATAATGCTATATTGTTTATTGCATATACCAATTTAGCATAAGAGGTAGAGTTTACATTGATTGCTCTGCCTGCAACTTTTAATCAGAGCATTCAGAAATTAATAATTTTTATAATAAAAGTATTATTTTTTCTAATTGAACATTAAACTCAAATTTAAGTAAGTTAAATTATGTTTCAGTAATTCAATGAAAGCTTTATATTGTTTGTTCTAATAAATTAATAGTTTTCATATAAATTGGAACTACTGTATAAATCAGTATTTATACAGTAGAGTTCCAATAAACTGAGACTTATCATTTACATTATCTGATGTGAATTGTTAAGAGTACAGTGGGTGATCGGTTAACGAACATAATCCATTCCAAGACTTTGTTCGCTATTCAAATTGTTCGTTAACTGATTATCGATTTACCATAGGTTTTAATGGGAATTTAATTAATTCGTTCTGGAGACCCCAAAATAAAAAATATATACTTTCTTACTACTATTATTTATATGTAATAATAAAAATACATACGTAAATAGTCTTGCGTTTTTATTAGTCATGTTTTTTCAGTTTGAAAGGGTTAAAGAATCTGTCTAATGTCGATTGTTTTTCTCTCTTCTTCAGGATTTTTCATAAGTAATTAATAGCATTGCAATTGTAGAAATCCCCAAGCCTCAACCTGGTTTGGATGCCATTCTAAGACCATTGTTCTGACATCCTCCCACTTCTTCAAAGGATCTTTAATAACAGATATCGGCATTAATCCTCTTTTTTTATAATAAAACTTCTCACCAAGTTTCTTGGTGAGATTGACATTCTTCTGTCGTCAGATCCGTTTCAGGTTCCATTATGAACTCTTCGATGTTCTATATTTCTCAGATATGATTTTTTTTACTCCTTTAGCTGCTTGAGTCTTATTGATTATACAGTATTTTTCTTAAAAAGAATGAACTGTGGCCTACTGTAGACCTGTTCACGCCATACTGCCCAGCAGCATTATTCATCTCCACTCTTTACTTTTGCTATTATACTCTCACCTTACAAAAAAAAAACAGACGCAAAACTTAACGAGTGCCTACCCAACAGTCTCGTGAATACATAAAAGAATTATTTTGTCATAAAAATAAAAGGCTGAAATTATAAGGGAGAGTTTTAAAGTTCGGAGGAATACTATCCGATCGGTATATACCAGCTTGAGCATCGATGTTGACGTCTCCCACACTCTGAAAAGTTTCGAATTGTTGCCCGAAGACAAGGAAAGTCCAATCGGTATTTGTTATTTTATTTCACTTGTTCTTGTGTTTGTTCTGTGGGGTGTTCGTTATCTGATCATGTGTTTGTTGTCCGAACATAAAAATCTTTCGCGAAAGTGTTCGTTGTCTGATCTGTTTGTTAACAATCACCCACTGTACTTTGTTAATAAAGACAAGAGAATGTAGTATAGTTTGTCTTGTGAATGTTGACCAGATGATGCACACTTCTTGAAAGAACTCTAGAAATTTATAATAACATTTACTCTGTTGACTTACAATATTATAAAGTTTAAGAGAGATTAAAGAAATTTTAATTTTAATGATAGATTTAAATTTACTTTTAATTTTATTTTACAACTGTATTTATTAACCCTTTGGTGGATATGTCTTTTAGAGTTTTATGAGAGGGCATGTTGTGGTTATTATACACAAATGTAATATCACTTCATATCCTCTAACATTTAATTTTTTTTATTTACATGACACTCTTGTTAACAAGAAAAATATGATATATAGGGACAAGACACTGCTAAAATTAAGAGCATTGTGACAAAAAACCTGCAGCCCAGCATTGTGACAATGTCACAATAAATAATTACTTATTAAAGTATTTTATTGTTTAATTTAAAAAAGCATTATATTCAGATCTAACCAGAAAGTAAAGTACATTTATGTGTGTTAATGCATACAAATCCAGTTTACTTAATAATTTATCGAGCATTCTGTGCTACCCAAGCTTTTGATTTTCTGAGGTACCCTTAGTCCACATTATCCTGAATAATGAAGACTCTGTTGTACTTCAGAATAATAATTTCATTATCTTTTAAAATTTATTTTCAGAATCAAAACCTCATGTCTGAAGAAATTACCCATTCTGAAACCAATCCTTTTGTGCATTCAAATCCAGTTGGAAAAGTGTTGTCATCTCCTTCATTGAATACAAAATCTCACCAAAATGCTGAAGCAAGTTTTAATATTTATGGATATCAACCATATGCTCATACATACATTACACCTGCACAGTTAAAAGCAAGAGAAGAAAATCAAAACCAAGGGTAATAAATTATCTCAGTGTATTAATTGGAAATTACACTTCATTTTACCAAAGAATTCACCATGTCAAAACAAACCTCCCTGCTATGTTCATATCATTTTTCAATGAACTCTGTGACTTGTTGGATTGCTTTATCACATGGAACACTGGCATTGTTCCATTGACCATATAAAGGCATTTCTTTCACAATGCAGTCAGTGCTGTATTCTGATAGAAATGACATGTAAGTATAAAAGAAAGTAACAATTATTAAGCATTGTATTTATCTAAAGTTTATCAAAATGACAAGAAATATGGCCATTTTTTCTTCTTAAGAAAAGTGATTCAATAATGACAGTGATTCAGTTTGCACATGTACAAGAATTTTTCAGGCTTTTTCATGTCTAAATTCACAAATCTATTCCTTTTCCACTTCATTTAAGAACTTGTATATCTTATTAATTAACAATATATTGTAACCTACAACTTTTAAACATTAAAAGTGGTATAACAAGTTTTTTGGTGAATGTGAAGCAGACAATGCATAGTAGCCGATGAGAAGCTTTCAGAGTGATGTCACATGTTTTCGAGAAGTGAATTCTTTGGTGAAACAGAGTATAATAACTTTTAATTTATTATTGTTGAATACTGTTTATTGCATAATTATTAATCATTTATTATTTATCTTTAATTGTTTCTACATTATGAAATTTAGTACTGCTATTGAGAACTCAAGGTCACCAGAAGTTCAGTGGTTAAAACTGTTGAAAACTGATAGTTGGTATTGGGTTGATACCTTACAAACAGGTTGACTGCATGGAGTTTTCTAGGTTTTCTTCATATGTCTAACACCTAAACAGGCCAATTTTCCATTGAAAGTCTTTGTGTGCGGCATCTTTCTCCTTGGCAGATTGCTCATGTGTTGCATTGCCTTATGCCATCAATATAATCCTTCTGAGAACTTACAGACTCTATCTAACCCATTAACACATTCAATGTTTCACAATGTGTGGTATGTGTGTGGACCCAGGGGCCTGCAGATCAGATTCACTTGTGTCACTGTTATAAGTGTAGATTCTTTGTTTTTACTCATTTAAAATGTTCATTATATTCTCATTGAATAATATTTCATTTCAAGTATGTTTTGTTCCTCAATTTTCTTCTTAAAAATGATCAAAAATCTATTTATTGTATTTGCATGCTAAAAAATAGATGTCATTAACTGTAGTTATAACATATTTGAAACTAATTTTTCATTTATGTATTCTTTGGTTCTCTGTATTTTGGCTTTTTAAATGTTGAGAATTAAAAGTTTTTTTAGAATAAGGTTGCCAACTATTGATGTAATATGTTGATTAAATATATATATATATANTAGTTTATTTATTTATTTATTTATTTTAAAGATCTCTAAAAATATTAATTTTTAAAATTTAATACCTATTTATTAATAATAATTTTTTATTATTATAATAGATCTGATTTATCAGCTTCAAGGTTATATGGAATGCCAGCAACTTCACAACAACCATTTTCTTCTTGTGAAATGAATAGATCAGTTAATCCGAATCCTACTCCTTATGCAGCAAAGCAACTTTCACCATTAAATAATAACCAAAAGACACATGACCAATTTTCATCATTAAATACTAATCAAAAAAGCCATCTTTCAAATGAAAAAGTGCAATCTTTACAGAATACAAATGTTTCAGGATATTGTGTAACAGGAACAGCATCATCTAAGTCATATGATTCCTCATATAACATTGTACAAGAGCATCTTTATCATGCTTCAGAAAATATAGAATCTGGAAATAATACTGATTTGAGTTTATCAAAAATAATGCCATCAAATTTAAATTTGGTATCCTCAGGAACTGAATCTACTAATGTCATTTCACATAATGTTACTACACATTCTTCTCAAGTGACAAGATCAAATCTTATATCTACATTATCTATTTCAAAAAGTAATGAAATAATAAATAATCCAGTATCTGCTCCCATGACAATATTAAGTGGAACAAATATAACAAATCAAACTATTGATTCCAAAGAAAGTAGTACATTATTTCAATATCTAAGTTCTTTGAAATCATTTGATAAGGATAATCATGATAATATGAAAGATTCTGTAGAAATAAAAATTACAAATAAATCAAATGATAACTTATCAGTAAACAGTTCTGATCAGATGTCAAATAAAAATTTTAATTCTACGCCTTGCATAAGTATTATTCCATTAAATACTAATGAAAATCAAATGAAACGCAAATTAAATAATGAAGATGAGAGTCAAAAGAGGCCAAAAGCAGAATCACCAAGTATATCATTAACGATTTCAGAATCTTGCAAATGTGCTAAAGTTTCTTCAAATTCCATTATGTTAAACACTAAAAACAGTGAAGCAGCATTTACCATTTCTGAAATCTCACAAAAACAGAAAGAAGTGACAACACAATCAAATACTTTATCAAGTAATAATTTACATTCAGGATTTTTAGATTCTTTTAGGTCATTTGTAAATTCTACACAGAATCAAGATAAAAAATTACCAATAGTAACAAATAAAAAGAAACGAAAAAAAGCAGTTCAAAATTCCAACTTTACAAGTGAAGAAAGCCTATCTTCATCATCAATCATAAGCACATCATCATCAAATTCTTCTAAAATAAAGAAAAAGGGGAAATGTGCTCAAACTAATAAAGAAAAGCAGGATTCTTCTGATGATGCACGTTGTACCCCAAGTCCCACACCTAGTAATAGCAGTCAGTATAGTGGCAGTAGTTGTAGTAATGATGGAGGTGGTGGTGATCACAAAAAAGTGAAAAAAACTTGGTTACAGAGACATTCAGAGCATAAAGATAATAAAAATGCTTCAGATGATACAAAAGAATCTGTTTTGCCCAAACGTTTACCAGTGAGAAAATCTAGAAATAAGAATTCTGAGAATATTTCAAATCAGAATGATAATAATAAAAGCCAAGATTCAGAAAGTTCTGATAATGAAAAATCAAGTAGTCAATCTGATCCAGAAGCTTCGTCAAATACTAAAAAAACAGGTTATCGAAAAACCCAACGATCTAGGAATATTGGATCAAATATTGATAAATATAAACAATTTGATAGGCAATTGGATAGTATGGAAGAAGCATCAAGTAGTGAAGAAGAAACAAAAGACAAAACAGATTTTCCTTATGGTGGAACTGCTCGCAAAAAAAGAGGACGACGTTGTGGAAGACCTGCAAAAGGTGAATTACACAAACTGAATTGTAAGTTGAATATTAATTTTTTTTTATTGTAGAACTTAAAATAATATTTTTAATTGCAGAAATAGATACATGAAATCCTCATTAATTCAAACTTGGATATAAGATTTTTTGTTTTAATTCTTAAAGTATTCATTTCCAATTTGTTTTAATTCTTAAAGTACAGAAAGCTAATATCAGCTTTCTGTATTATCAGAATATGTAGAATGTTTTTTTTCTTTTTACACACAGAATATTGTAGAACAAATCATATGATGCACAGTTTGGATTTTGAAATGTGGCCTTGGAAGTAAATTTGATGAAAACAATCAAAGGAGATTTCAAATAGAATTTGTTTTACAATATTTCAAAATTCTAAGTTTGAGAGAGAAGAGGAATGAAAATTTATCCTTTGTATATTGTTTTGACTCATATTAGTCGAGTTTGGCTATTTCAGAACAGGGAGAATGTGACCTTGTTTATTAAATTGCCACAGATGGCATTGCATATATTGTGTGTGTATTTGAATTGTCTGTATTGCAGTTGCTGGTGTTTGTTCTATTCTATGCAAGTTTTAATTCATTTTTCTTGCTTTTAATCATAGTTAATGATTTTTAAAAAAATATGTCAGTGGTATCATGTATAAGTGTGATGCTTGTATGTGATAAACACTAATCTACATTTAATATATACTTACTCAACACCTTGTCTGGTACCTGTTACCAGTGCATTCTGTGAAAAATAAAGTTTATCACTAATGTTTATCACTAACTAGTGTTGATGTGTTGTGGATGTTGATATTTTAATATATACTTAATCTTTCTAACAGTCTGTAATACTTTAGAGATATAGGAGCCATATAATTTATAGTGTTTGATATAATGTTAAGTTTTATGAAATAAAAAAGAATAAAAATGCATACAAAAAATTTCAGAAGTCCAATTATTTGTTGAGATTAAATACTTTCTGGAACTTTAAATACTGTATTTTCAGATTCAAACCTAACATATAAATAGAATACATTTGAATGAATAACAAAAGTAAGTACGAACTTTTAAATAGAACAATCTAAAGGTTAACAAAAATTGTATGAACATTGTAATTATGTTCTCGACTCATATATAACAGAGGGAAAGTATGGCAATCAGTCAAAAAAATGATCCCCAAGATTTTTACATTTTTGAACTTAGGACACTTTGAAACGTCAAAGTGCAAAAATATCTGGGATTTTTTTTCCATGTGTGTGTGTATATTGCAGGCAGAATTTTGAAGCTTTTTCCTGTTTTGAAGCTTAATAACTCCTGTGCTTTTTGTAAAAAATTTCTGAAATTTGCAAGGCTGTTTGTTTATTAGGGGCATTGATTTTATTAAATTTTAGTGGTTAAAGGTTGAGAGGGTGGAGAGATAATGGGGGTTGTATGTATCTCCAGTGGCGTCAGACTTAATGACGATTTTACTCATTATTAGCATTTATAATTTTTTATAATATTGCTGTCAAAATTAAGGTTTTTGCCATTTTATAATAGTTAAAAATATAAAACTTTTTTAATAAAATATGATAACAAATTGTGCACTAAAATTTTAAATGTTGCTGGGAAAGTTGAGCAACTTGTTGCTAGCTGATTTTTGTTTATAGTTTATTTTACTGTATATTCTATTTATGATATGTTGAATTTAGATCTGAAGATAGGGACACCTGAAGTTCTGAAAAGTGTTTAACCTCAATAAATGTAATTAAGTTGCATTTTTAAATATTTGGAAAATGACCTATTTTAAACTTACTTCATTAATAAATCTTCTTAACAGCTGTTTATAGTTTGCTATAAATTTTAAGGACTTAGCACACCACAGTTTTCAATTTGAAAGCTCACTGACATTTTATTAATCCAATATGTACATTTCGGGCCATATACCCTTCTTCAGTTGGTTATAATTAAAGTGTTTTTGTATTTTCCAATTTGTAATTGACATTAAATTTTAATTTTAGTTCACAATCTGTATCCTTCTTCTAATTTCTATGATGTAAATATCTATTCTGTTACATGTCATAGAAACTGGAACTGAAACAAACAGATTGTGAATTAAAATTAAAGTTTAATGTCAATTACAAATTGGAAAATACAAAAACACTTGGTTATTTGGTTGGTTATAATAAAAAAAAGTTGGTTATAATTCATATAACCAACTGAAGAAGGGTATATGGCCCGAAATGTACATAAAATCTCAGTGAGCTTTCCAATTAAGAACTGTGGTATGATAAGTCCTTAAACTTTATAGCATATTACATATAGCTGTTAAGAAGATTTATTTCAATATTGGACAAAAAGCAATTAATTATAATTACTTTTTTTTTCCCCTTCTTCTTCTTCTTCTTCTTCTTCTTCATGACTAGGTGTATTAACAGACACAAGGCATTTTTACATCATTTTTATTCTGAATATTCTATAGGCCAATACATGTTTTGGGCAAAGGCCCCTCATCCATCGGCTACACAATAAGACATATTATAAATTTCTTATATTACAAATGTTTTATCAGAAGATGAAGATGCTGGATGTCGAACCATGAAAACCTTCACTGTAATAGTAATTTAAATCATAAATATATTTTAAACTGGAATGATATTTTAACAATTTTAACTGTAAATATGTAATTTTAAACAAAATGTATAAGTATCAACACAACACAAAGAAAATCCCAGATGCCGTGGTATGTCATAACTTATTATGATAAAACATTTGTAATATAAGAAATTTATAATATGTCTTATTGTGTAGCCAACGGATGAGGGGCCTTTGCTTGCAACACATATCGGCCTATAGAAGATTCAGAATAAAAATGATGTAAAAATGCCTTATGTCTATTAATACACCTAGTCGTGAAGAAAAAAACAAATAAAAGAAGACACGGTCTCGGAACGGAATACATAATTATAATTACTTCATTAAATTTAAACTTTAAAAAAAGATAGCTGCATCGCATCACTTCTATAACAAATTTAAAAAAGCATCTTAACAAATTTTAAAAAATTTAAAAAAAAAACGTGATGCTTTATTATCCAGTCAGAAGTAACAATCTAACAAGCCCATTATTGGAAACATTTTAAAAGCCAGTAGTGTGTTTACTCAGAATGTAATGTATAAAGAAATTTTATAAAGAAAGATTTTAACATATTTTTTTTTATTATAAAGACCATCTGTTTCTGTGTAAGTGAATTATCTATAAGTCCTATTTTTGTTCATTCCAGGTGAAAATTTGTTTTGTTGCTCTTTATGCTACAACAGATAGTATAAACTACTTAATATTTGTAGAAATATTAGCAACTCTTTTTGAATTTCTTGAAATCTTCACTTTCTCATAAAAAGTATTCCATCAAGCTAAATGGGGAAATTTCTAGTATATATATATAAAGCATATTCATGCTTAAAAGATGATATATGTATATTATATATGATGATATATATATATATAAAATATTTATAGTTATAAACTATATTTAATTTTATTAAATTTATTGTATTATTTTATTTATATATTTAAGTTTGAAATTTCTCTTTTTAGCACAGCATTTTGATAAACGCACACATGCTCATTATAAACGAACTGGTGATCCATTTCTTCAAGATGGACCTTGTTTAGAAATCGCTCCAAAGTTGCCTAAATGCAGAGAGTGTCGTATTAGAGCTCAGCATCGCACAAAAATGAACAACATATTTTGTAGGTTCTTTGCATTTAGGAAGTAAGTATTTCAATTTTAAATTGACCATATTTTTGATTTTAATAGGATTTGAGAAAGATGAAATAAGTGAAATTTTTAATTAATAACAGTTACTGTCATAATTAATGAATTAACTATAATTTATTTTAATTTTAACTAATAAATTATTTAATGATTATAAGGATTTGTTACCATTGTTAATCTGATGCCACCTGTTACTTAGTTTAAAAGAATGAACCCATCTAATGATTAAACCTGTAACTTTATTGTATATCAGATAAATATATTATCACTTATAGTGTTTGGACAATAAATTTTAATATTGTTGAAATAATTTAATTAGTAATTGAACTTTTTCCAGACAGTTTAAATTTTATATTTGTTTATTACTTCACTTGTTAAAGATAGTTTGTTTTGAAATCCTGAAGATATTTAATAGCTTACCATATATATATATTATACATTCTAGCACAATATACACAATTTGCTGTAGGCATTTAGGAAATCAGATAGTAGTTCTGAAAAGTTTGAAACAAATAATTTGGTAATACATTATTTAAAACAAAATAATCAAACATTAAATTATATTGATTGGTTTTATATGGTAACAAACTAAACAAAATTTTAATATTTATAAATTATTATATAAAACATAAAATATTTTATATAAATGTAAATAAACTTTAAATGTATATGACCTGGATGATGAGAAGTGGTTAATATGTCATGATACCAATATTGAGGTTTCCAGTGAATTTTGTAGAAAACAGTGTGTTTATTAGTGAAACTAATTTTAGTTCTCAGCTATAATCACTTCTTTGCAATTTTTAACTAATGATGAAAAATGGGAATAAAAAGTGAAAAAAATAAGAAATGAACATTAACAAGAATGATTGTAAAACCATAAAAATAAAAGCATTGTCAGAGAAAGAAAGTCTGTTTTTCAACAAAAAATTTAAGATATGTTTTGTAGACGTAGCTATGACAATAAAACATGAAGAATGCAACAGATTAGTCAAACTTGACTAATATAGCTGTGTATAAATTCAAATTTCTTCTTGCACATTAGCCATCTGTTTGTAATCCAGGTCATATATACAGTATTATAGTGCTGCTAACTTATATGCTAGCTGTTATGTAATTCATCTTGTAAATAAACAAAATGATAAACAAGATTTATAATATAAACTTAAATGTAATATAAATTAATGATCAAATGATATGACCAGATTAACTATCAGGTTAAAACTTGGCTAATTAATTTCATAGATATTATATATCTATGAAATTAATTAGCCAAGTTCTATCCATTTCGTATCCATCCATATCATAAATTTCTGTAAAGTTTGATACCATATATGGATATCAACTAAATGCAATAAAGATATCTTTTTATAATTTGCATCAAATTTTTATTTTTTTTTATTTTTTGCTAAATATTAAATATTACTGCAAGTGAATATAAAAAATTTAAAAAGACGAATAAACATTGTATAATCAAAATGACATCTGGGGCATCTGCAAAATGCTTGTAGCAGTCAACATGTTAAGGAAACCAAATACCTTTTTTTTTACTAGAGAGATGTTTTTGGGACTTCTATAAGGCCCAGCTTTAGCTCCAAAATATTAGAATTGAACATAAGATTCATGTGGTATTCTAGATTTTAAAATTTAATTTTTCTACATAACATAAAATGTACTTATAACAAAATTCTTAAATGTTTTAAAATTTAAAGGATATATATATTTATATTTAGCCAGATATTATATAAATTTTATAATTTTTAAATATGCTAGATTATATAAATTTTCCTAAAGTTAGGTTTTAAGTTATTCATAAATTTTTTTTAACCAGATTATATTATGGAAAAAATGGTTCTATTTCTATTGCTGGATTTTCACAACCCTCAGATGCTACACAAGCTGACTTGAAATTATGGTTGCCTCCAGTAGACAATCCTCCAGCAAATTTGGATGTGGAGACATCTAGTTTTCTTTTGACACATGTTGGTGATCAGTTTTGTGATCTTGTACAGCAAGAAAAAGAAGCCAGGTTGCAGAATATGGCAGAAGGTTATTTTAAAATATTTTTTAAGTAAATTAAAAGCACAATTATGATTAATTTAAATATTTATAATGAAAATTTTATTTGTTTAACAGTTATTTTATGAATTTTATTAATTTATGAGAGTTGAAACTTTCTTAAAATATTATTTATATATGTGAATAAAATAGATTTTGAATATTGAACCATAAGTGACTAACTGAAATTACCTACTTAAAATTCTCTGTTTTATTTAATTGTTTGAATTTTACTTATCTACTTATAGTTCCAAATAGAATATGTTGAATATAATAATATTTTATTATTGAAAAACTAAAATTTAGAGTTAGTTACTTATGTTTCTACACCCACAAGATTATTTTGTTATTGATTTGAAATTATTATTGAAAAATTTTTCAATTAAAATTTTACTTACTTTAATTAAAATATATTACAGTAGTCCCTCATTATATTTCACTTGTTGGAAGACATAGAAAAGCACGGTGTGATATAACAGAATACTAAAAATTCTGGACTTATATAAATAAACATCTCCAAACTCGATATCCAATATAGTAAGACACCAACCGAATGCCGTAAATTAATCGGGCTATTTTAATGCTAAATTCTTATTAAGAATTTAAATTCTTATTAAGAATTTAGCATTAAAATAGCCCAATTAATTTACGGCATTCGGTTGGTGTCTTACTATTCTGGGCTTATACTAAACAGATTATACATGCTATGGAATCTCTATTCTCTATTCTTTCACCAGCAAGTGTTTCTGTTATAAAATAAGCTTAGTTTTTCAATACTGAATTTTATTTGTGATTATATCATAATAATTGATGTTTACATAAATATTGATACTAAGAATGCCCATTTAGCATCATTGTCTGTAATAATGGCATTTAAATACAAATATTGTCAATATAAAAACAAAATATCTGTTGAGATTTTATTACACAGTACTATATTTCATAACAAATCGCTTATTAAAAATTCATGTAATTTATTCTTTCAATAAAAGTTATAAAAGTACAATAATTGAAAACTTAAAAAATAAATATTGAATATATAACAGAACATCAAACATTATAAAATTACATAGTAAAAGTTCTCAAAAAGCAAAATAAAGTTATTAAATTATAAAAAGCTTAGAACTTCCCTTTCAGAAATAAAGAAATCTTTTCTTTACACATTTTGCAATAAACTCAAAATTTCACACCTTTATGTGATATTTTGTCAATTCACATAAAGATGTGAAATTTTAAATTCACAGAAACTTGTAAATGAGGAGACAGTATTTAAAACCAATTAACAAACAACTTTTAATATCAAAAGGAACATAAATGATAAGGATCTGTCCACTTGTTTCACTTAGTTAGATCTTGATAAATTTATTGTCACCAACAGTGGTAGTTTCAAGGACAATGGTAGGAATAAAATCCCATATTTTGTTGTAAAAAGAAATTCAATGGCAATTAATATTTTAAAATTTATTGATTCAAGTTCTTTTAAACTTTGGGGACCAAAAAAGTGAGATTATATTTAAATCTGGAATATAATGAGGGGCTACTGTGTTAACAGGTTACAGTATGTCTATTTTCAAATAAAATTCTCTTTATAAAATATATATAGTAATCATTTTTGCATATAAATCTGCAATATTAATTGAATCATTTGAAATTGCATAAAAGTGGGAACTGTGTACAAATAAATGTGTTATTTATGTATAATTTCTAGTTTCAGAATGGTTTTATATGCTTTTTTTGTACTGAAGATATAATTATTTTTGCTTAGTGAATTTATAATAATAATGTAATTTATCAAGAGAATTGTATAATAAAATATTGAGGTTATAGCACTTAAGGGGTCACTTTTTAAGCAGTTTCTTCAATAATATAGGTCATATTTTTCTAAAATGAACAATATTTTATTACTGCATTGTTTAATATTAAAATTTATTTTTACAGAATTTTTATTTTTATTTTTTCGATATTTTTAGTAACGATAAAGATCTTTTCCAGTGCGATACTGAAAAGATGCGAAGGATGCGTCAAGTTGAAAATGGTTTAAAATGTGTATCAGTTTAGAATGAATCGTTACGTTAAGTTTATTTTTAAAAGTTTCAACTTATTTTTAAAATTATCTAACAAAATTATATTAAAAGTTAAGCTATAAAAAATAAAAATAACTTACGAGTCTTAGAAATTCTTCAAAAATTTTCATCACTTATTAATTTAAACACACACAAAAAAAACACGGAAATTAAATCTAAAAAATAAATTATTTATTTATTAAGAGATTTATAATATTTAACAACCTAAAGTATTTTTTAAACTACATATTATCTCATCAAAACAACAAGATTTTAAAATAATTAATGACTTTTGTAAATTTATTTTTTCTGCAGAAAAATGAAGAAAAAATTTACTTTAAATTATAGACATTAAATTCGACTTTATTATGATTATAAGTTATTATTTTGACATTAATTACATCCTTTAAAAATAAATGTATCAAGTAGCTTACGGAAATTTATCGTTGTTTTTTTAACATAGTCTATATTTTTTTAAACATTTATTTATTTATTTATTATTATTATTAAAACGTTGCTAAGTTAGTTATATATATATATATAAGAATCGGTTGAAGAGAGCATGAAAATTTCAGTCGATACCATTGTCCAAATCTGTTACATTCGATAAAGACAATGGAAGAAGTCGGTCCCTAGAGATTGCTTCGTCTATATCCTTNTGAAGAGAGTAGTAGTAGGGAGAGGTGAGTTAACTAGTTTTAGTGTGAGGTAGGAGGAAGGTCAAATGATTGTGTAGAAACAGGTTAAAAGTTGATAGTGAGTAATATTATTGGTGAGGTTGAGCATGTTTCGACATGTTATCTGGGATACTAGGAATAAATATAAACAACCTGGCGTTGGATTAGATCATGTTTCAACAAGCTAAATAAGTTCAGTATCTCACTGGCCATCTAATGCCACACTCAATTTATATCCAGCATTTGAACGGTACTGTGGTTGCATTTTTATTTCTGGAATATGGTTCACAGAGGTTGTGTAATTTCTCCCGACAGCTTCTGTTATGTTTGTGGTGAATACACAGTGAAAAGTCAACATCCCTTTATCTGAAACCCTCTTTTTGGAAACAATGGGAGAAAAGGAAAAAGGAGCATGGGATTTTTTCAAGAATGTAGTGCATAAGTTTTTGAGGAATACTAAGAACCCTGACTACAAAACCATTTATAAAGCATGCTGATAGCAAATGAAACTCAAGGATGCAAGATGAGCTTAAAAAGTTCATTTCTTACACTCCCATATTGACTATTTTCCCAAAAACTTGGGAGCCTACAGTGAAGAACAGGGTGAAAGATTTAACCAGGATGTCTATGATATCGATCATAGGACAGATATGATATCAAGGAAAATGGGATGTCAATATGTTAACTGACTACTGTTGGATGCTCTATTGAGAAACCAGAGAAGGAAATCAGAAACGAGTTTGTAGAAGCATCAAAGAGGAGAAGGAAAGGTATCATAAGAAAAAAGAATAGACCTAAAATTATGTATAAATATCAGAAACAATTTTTTGATTAGTTGTAAGAAAATATAATATATTTAGTTCATTGTAATAAATAAGGGTTTTATCAAATATTTGTTTTTATTTTGCAAAAAATCTATACAGATGGGATGTTATGGAAGTCATTTTTAGAATCTCCTATCTTTAAAACATATAATTCAGCAAAAATAGCCCATGCAGCTGGAAAAAAATTTTTTTTGCAGACCTGTGTAATTGGTCAAAATTCATTCTGATATCACAAGATATAGCTCATTGTTTAGCATCATTGTCTGTAATAATGGCATTTAAATACAAATATTGTCAATATAAAAACAAAATATCTGTTGAGATTTTATTACACAGTACTATATTTCATAACAAATCGCTTATTAAAAATTCATGTAATTTATTCTTTCAATAAAAGTTATAAAAGTACAATAATTGAAAACTTAAAAAATAAATATTGAATATATAACAGAACATCAAACATTATAAAATTACATAGTAAAAGTTCTCAAAAAGCAAAATAAAGTTATTAAATTATAAAAAGCTTAGAACTTCCCTTTCAGAAATAAAGAAATCTTTTCTTTACACATTTTGCAATAAACTCAAAATTTCACACCTTTATGTGATATTTTGTCAATTCACATAAAGATGTGAAATTTTAAATTCACAGAAACTTGTAAATGAGGAGACAGTATTTAAAACCAATTAACAAACAACTTTTAATATCAAAAGGAACATAAATGATAAGGATCTGTCCACTTGTTTCACTTAGTTAGATCTTGATAAATTTATTGTCACCAACAGTGGTAGTTTCAAGGACAATGGTAGGAATAAAATCCCATATTTTGTTGTAAAAAGAAATTCAATGGCAATTAATATTTTAAAATTTATTGATTCAAGTTCTTTTAAACTTTGGGGACCAAAAAAGTGAGATTATATTTAAATCTGGAATATAATGAGGGGCTACTGTGTTAACAGGTTACAGTATGTCTATTTTCAAATAAAATTCTCTTTATAAAATATATATAGTAATCATTTTTGCATATAAATCTGCAATATTAATTGAATCATTTGAAATTGCATAAAAGTGGGAACTGTGTACAAATAAATGTGTTATTTATGTATAATTTCTAGTTTCAGAATGGTTTTATATGCTTTTTTTGTACTGAAGATATAATTATTTTTGCTTAGTGAATTTATAATAATAATGTAATTTATCAAGAGAATTGTATAATAAAATATTGAGGTTATAGCACTTAAGGGGTCACTTTTTAAGCAGTTTCTTCAATAATATAGGTCATATTTTTCTAAAATGAACAATATTTTATTACTGCATTGTTTAATATTAAAATTTATTTTTACAGAATTTTTATTTTTATTTTTTCGATATTTTTAGTAACGATAAAGATCTTTTCCAGTGCGATACTGAAAAGATGCGAAGGATGCGT